ACTAGTGTTTGAATTCAGAGCTTTGGACTTGGCAGGAGCTTTGGACTTGGCAGGAGGAACTCTTCATTTGAGTCATATTCCATCCCTTTTTGCCTTCATTGCTTTTCAGTGGAGTTTCACTTGCTCTGGCCAGCCTAGACTGCAGTCTTCTAGTTTTGCTTCCAACATAGCTGCGATAACAGGCATGTACCACCACACCCAACTTCTTCCTTTGAGATAGCATTTTCCAGACTTTCATGCCTGTGCTGGCCTGGAACCATGATCCTTCCAGTCTCAGCCTACTGTGTGCTTTAGGTTGCTAGTCATGTTCCACCGTGCTTGCTTTACTGTGCCTCTCTGTGTTTATTCTGCCTTGGCTAACTTCAAACTGCAGTCCTTTCCATTTTTTAGCTTCCCAAGTATCTAGGATTAAGAGTGTGAGCCATGGGCTGGGAAGGTAGCTCAGCACCACTTAAGCAGAAAAAGTTGGAAGTGGTGCTATGGCTCAAGTGGTAGAGTTTTAGCCTTGAGCTGAAGAGCTGAGGGATAGTGCCCAGGCCCAGAGTTCAGGCCCCATGACTGACCAAAAAAAAAAGAGTTTGACCCATTATGCATGACTAGATTCATGCTTCTTTTGTTTAAAATAGACTTAAACTGGTCATGGTGATATATGCTTTTATATGCTTGGGAGGCAGAGGTAAGAGGATCTCAAGTTCAGGGCCAACCTGTGCTATTATATAGAGTTTGCCTTAAATAGACAAAAGGGGGGAAAAAAAAGAGCAGACCACAGGAGATTCTATTAGACAGGCTGTTTAGAGAAGTGAAATCAAGGCTAGATCTTTAAGGAACTAGGATTTATATAAGGGGTGGGATGGAATTATATAGGGGATGGTGTGGAAATTTGTATAAGAAATGGGATAAGGGGCTGGGAAGGTGGCTTAGTGGTAGAGCACTTGCCTTGCATGCATGAGGCCCTGGGTTCAATTCCTCAGCACCAAATAAGCAAAAAGAAAAAAGCCGGAAG